TAGATCATGAATATTTTTCTATACAAATTTTGTATTATATCATATCCAGAGGCATATCTGAAAGCATGAACAAATATCTTACCTTTTTTCTCAAAACCATGCGAGAAAGTCACTATTTGAGGTAGTGGGTTTTTTGTTTGTTTGTTTGTTGCATTATGGCAGAGAGTTTCATGTTTGATAAAGTAGTTATGGGTTTTAATGTGGTTGCTGTTGCTGTGCACTTTGGTCTGTGTTTAGCTACAGTGAGGCACACAGGAGGCGCACTCTGGTCTTTTTGCAAATGAGAAATGCTCTCATCATCTCTGCAAATACTCATCTGTCCATTTCTAAGTGCCTCAGGCAACCCAGTCTCAGATGGCAAGGACTGATTTTTTTTAAAAGTCAGGCTTGACAGACTCAGAGGCAGGAACTCCAAAACAAGAGGAGTCATTCAGAGCTTGTTTTTTCATTTTTGTCACAGTTTTAGATTTATGTTCTGTTTTAATTGTTGAGAGGTGAATTTTGGAAGAAATTCTTTGCTTCCTTATGGAGAATGGGATAAGGACTTCCAGCCCACCAGGCTTTGGGACAGAGCTCTCTGAAGTTTTCCTAAAGGTGCTTTCTCTGAAATAACTAGTATTGAACACTGTCACAGGATACTAGGATAAGCACAGTTTACTGGACTAGCCAGTTCTAACCTGTTCCTATATCACCAAGGAATCACGGCTCCCATCTGTGCCGTGACCTGTGTGGTGATCCTCTCCTGGGAATCCTGCTTCACCAGCTTTTGTGCATGACACCAGTTCCACTGATGACCAGCATGCAACTCTCTGCTGCAGCAACACTTGGATCACATCTGTCCAACGAGAGCCATTTTTCTGTTTATGGTACATCAGAACTATGAGCCTAATTATTTTAAGTTTCACATCTCTGAGTCATGTTCAAAGGAAGGAAGATTAACACATCCACTCTTTGGATTTTTGTTGTAGTCTTAGTAAGTCTCAGGGTATAAAACCTTGCTTTTGCCTTCTCGGATCCTACATTTCATGCTGGTGCACCAGTAACATTGTCCAAGAGGAACAACTTCCCTGGAACAGCAGTTTCTTTTTCCTGTTGAGACACCCATCTTCGAATCAGAAACGGTACAGGCGGTATTTAACATCTCAGTATTAAAATATTCCTCCATTGTTCATTGCAGAGGAGTATTAATATTTTTAAAATAGAGTAGTCACACACAAGAAATCTAAAAAGTGTCATGAAAGATATTGATTCAATTTCTCATTGCATGAGAAGTATTATGAGCAAACATTAACCATAAGTTGATGCCCACCTCTGTAACAGTACAAGTAACTAATGGAGCATTTTCCTCTCCTATTTACAAACTAAGATCTACGGATTTTTAAAGTAAGGATTTATTTTCTCCTAATACAGGCCATTGATTTTCAATGTTTCTCTTTCCCACCAGTGTCTCTAGCCTTGTGTCCGGGCTCCACATATGACTGAGTATAACAATCTAACTAACCAATTAATGCACAACATTGTCAGCACATTTAAGATCACAAACAGGGGCAGTGAATGCAGAACAGCTCCCTATGGCTGCTTGTACCCCTGCAAAACACAAGCCCTCGTTGACAGGAGACTTATCTACAGCATGTGATGGGAACATCAGCTGGATAAATGCCCTAACGTAGGAGTTGAACCTTCCCTGTGGTCATAGGAAATGAATGAATTCTTTCACCTCCAATTAAGTTCATTTGAAGCACTGATCTCTCCCACCTGGGATGAGATAAAGATTATCAACTAACCAGCTTCTTATAAAGAGGAAATTTCTGTTCTCCCTCCCTTCCTCCCAACAGTACTTCATAAAAAATGTAAATGTTCCTTTATTACCAAACTAGGAAATCTGTACACCATAAACCATTCATATAAAGAGCACAGTATGTACATGTGTGCATGTGAACATATATGCATGAATAAAAATGCATACACTTGCTGATATATCTGTATCTGGGTATATATTTATATCTCTGACATTTGCCATCTGTTGAGAGTGTAATATCGGGAATAAGCATCTGGCACTGTTTTGTATAGTAGGGCCTTTTGACAGCTGCTAAGGAATGCTGTACCTTTGGGGATTAAGGAGTAATTAATTAGAGCAAGGAAAACATACTGTAGAACATAAAATTTCTATATAGAAAGCAAGGTTTTCCAGGTACTCTTTGATTTGGTTTTTATCTGGCCTACAGCCTAAACCCAAATCTAATGTTTTCGGAGGGATCCATTCATCATGTTCAGGGAAATTTAAAGGTGAAACATGCAAGATGTTAATAATGTCCCTTGATAATTCCACATGCAGACTATTACTACACATCCACAATTACCCAAGTATTAAATTACAAACACTGAACACAGAGAGTTACTCGGAAAAGGTTCCAGAGAAATAGGCTACAAAAGGTAGAAAGATGTGCTGCGTGCACATATGGTGTACTGTGGGTTACCCAGGGGTTAATGGGTGCAAAGTATTGCAAACAGATGTGACATTCAAGCTGTTCAAAGACTAAAATATTTTCTTGGTTATCAGGTGGAATTATTTGTTGCCCTCCAGGTTAGAAAGTGCTTAAATTGTTGCTGCATTTATTGTACTCACTCAGAAATCTCCGAGGCCTCTTTTTGGTTATCTGTCTTTGCAACCCTTTGCTGGGTGAAGAGTGAGGAATGAAACAAGTAGAGTCTTCTGGAATATTATTTTCTTCTGTTTCCAGAGCAGATCAACTCCGTGGTCTCGGACATAAACAAGTTTAGCAAAGGAAAATATACCACCTTTTTCATCTTGCATCATGCAGGGCCCAGGTACCTCTCTCTCCTTTGTTATACATTGCTTTACAAGTGTATTAATCCAAATTGTAACCAAGTACAGAGTGTAGTTTGAAGACATATAGAAGGGGTTATCTTCCTCTACGAAAGTTTGCTATTCTCTAGAGCTGCCAAACTCAGAGAGGACATTTGAAACCTGAAATCACAGAATATGCTGAGTTGGAGGGGAACCATAAGGATTATAGAGTCCAACCCTTAGCCCTGCACAGGACATAATTTCTATTCATGAGAACTTTTAGGATATAAATGTAAGGAAATAGTATGGGCTGCTTTCCTACTCATAAATACACCCCCCCACCTTTTATTTTCATTTCATAAACCATTTGGTTCCTACTAGACATCAAATGAAATCCCTATAATCACTACTTTCAGAAATTTCCATTTCATCATCTTGTTTAATATTCTCTGGGATGATATTTTGGGAATTTGGATTGGGTTTTTTATCAGAACTGTGTGCAGAATTTCACAGTGGTATAATATCATGTTCTTTCAAGTCAGTGGTACATATTTTTAGGAAAAAAGCTAGTTTCACAATTAGGAAACAGGTCAAAAAACTAACTTACAGGGGTTACATATGCATATGCAAATGTCTTTAATTACTCCCATGGGCTTTACTTTAAATTCTCTAATACCTTTAATTTCCCACACTTCTCTTTTCAGAAGCCTCTTGTTGATCTCTGTTGTTTTCCTTACTATCTGCTCTACCTGATGCTTGCCCTGAAAGCACAGTTGGTGCAGCCGCACATCACACTACCACATATTAACCTGCGAGACACTGTATAAATTTCTCTGTGTAGGTTTCTGAGATAAGAGGACTAGGCCATTGGAGCCAGCTCAGCTTCTCAATGATGTGTGAAAATATTTATTACATCCAGATAAGTGGGTATCTATATATCATTTCACCAGCCACTGATGTGCAGTTTGCTTAGAAGTGAAACAAGAAAGAATCCCTACCATGCACCAGCACTGCAGAAGAATAATCAGACAGGGCTGGCCACTTGCTGACTTGTCTGGGGCTCCCTCCTTCACCTATAGGTCCCTGAGTCCTGTTGTTCCCAAATGGTGTGAGCAGCAAAGGTAATTGCTGGGTGCCTGTTTCATTTTGCTCCGTATTTGCAAATCAGCTAAATGTGAATTGAGCCTCATTCATGAAAGACAAGTGAACTACAATTGTGATTAACAGTAATAAATGCAGCTACCAGAATGTGGAATTTATTACCTTGTTTTTTTGGCAACTATCCCTTATTTTAAAACTGCATCTGTTGGCTTACTTCCTTTAATCTTGTATGAGAAAGTGAAAAAGAAGTATTCCTCTCTGAGAAAGAAAGCAGTATAGGATATACTTTGAAAATTCACAGTTTCATCTGCTAGTAATATTGAAGATGAACTTAATGGCTAAATTAAAAACAACCTAGATGTCATGTTCAGAGTGAAGCAGCAACATAATAAAAGGGTCAACCGCACCGCAGTAGAACAAGGAAAAGAAAATAACTAATAACATGAACGTCTGTAAGAGTTTTCAGTGCAACATAAACGTATATGTTATTAATGGTTAATATGAAGGTGCCATCTGGACAGTTGGATTATGTAGATTCTGGCACCAGAGGTGTCATTCATCATGGAAAGCATGAGAAAACCAGACAGTTTGAAAAATGTTTCAAACAAAGTTTGACTGGATATCTTTTGAATCTATTAATGTATGGATGAGCAATAATCTGAGCAAAAACCTGCAGAAAGCCAGGACCTAAGTCAAAAAAGGCTACCTCTTATCTCTGCAGATTTTGGAACAGGGTTTAAAATACATCAGTAATATAGATCTGTATAAGTGTAACAACAAAAAAAGAGGTGAAATGCTCCTTATGAGATCTTTTCTCATGCATTCCAAAAAGGTATAAATTTCTTTAACTATTTTATACTTAAAGTCCTGAAGTCAAAGACAGTTTGTGAGAAAGAGAAAGCAAATATCTAAATTTTCAAGATAATTAAAAAACAACTACTTCTCCTTACTTAGGTTTCAAAGCAGACCACAGAACAACAAATAAATGAAAAGCAGGTACTTTTTTCCCCAGGTATGTTTTTTACTGTACATTTTGTAGCAAAAAAAAAAAAACAAACGAAAGGAAAAAAATATTCTGATCACAGGGATGTCATTATTTAAAACTCCAAGTAGGAAACATGACGAATACAAGATCAAGTACACAGCCATGTCACAATATATCTCTGAACCTTTAAAAAAAATATACATAAAGTTTTTTTCATGTGTTATTTTCTCTGTACCTTGCACCCTTTCTTCATATCTTTTACAAAATCGATGTAAATAATAGTAACAATGTGCAATTTCAGAATGGTTCCCGACAGCTGATCATTGAGAGCCAAAGAATTAATAAACAAATGATAGGACAGTTGCAGTAGCCACCAGAATGCTGGAAATCACAGTAAAATTGTTAAGGACAATCAGTTCAGCTGGATTGGCCATGTGTATTTCTACAGCCACAGCAACACTTACCAAAAACTAATCTGAGAATCAGTTTACAAGTCCTAAACAGCTCCTGTTATTAGTCAGCAAGTATCTTCCTGAGGATGAGACAGGGAAGCAGGAGTACACCAGGGACTGGGGAAGGGCTGTATGTAATGCAGGGGGCACATGGGAGACCCTCTGCTCTGAGATACCCAAATTGAACTCAGTTGCTGTGGCTAACTTGGAACATACCCAATCCCCTGAAATACACAAAAACTTAATTTTCTTGTGGCGCTACTTGGTACAGTCAAGCTGTGTCACGGTGATTGTACGGACAAGGAGCTTTTGTCACAATAGGGTCAGTGTTTTCTTTGGCAGTTAGAGTGGCAGTGTGACCTTCACTAGAAGCCACTAATATTCATAATGTAGAGCTACTTTTGTTTTCCCTTGCTTTATCCTTTAGTAGGAAATCTTGATAACTATTTTTCCCATCTTTGATAGCAACACCCTTACAGATACCAATAGCTGCTGCAATCTGCCTTGAGCATTGATAAACAGAGACTATGAAGATAGAAGGAAGAGGATGATTTCTTTTTTTATAATTTATTTGTCCCTAGATTTAATTTTTTCTAGGACAGAAAGGGTGGTATTGGGGGTGGATTATACAGTACGTCAGGAATTTGACCTTTGTACATACCTCCTTTTAATCTGGGGGATTTGATGAGACTAAAAACAAAACCAAAAAATGTATGGAAACATACTTTCTGTTGTGGGGAAAAAGCAACTCAAACCATAAAAATCAAAACAGAACAGAAGTAAATAAATCCCAACCAAAAGCCGACTCAACAACAAATATTGTTTGCCCAGATGTCACAGTTAACACCATGAGATTATGCTGAACAATTTGCTTTTATCTGTCCCTGTGGGTGCCATGCCTGCACTTTTGAGAAAATCATTTGCAATAACAACCAGATATATCCTAGCACCAGTCATATCCACAGAAGTGTATTTCTGTGTTTGAAAGAAAAGAAAGAGGTGCCCTTTAAAAAAAAATTAAAGAAAAAAGAAAAGAAACCCTGTAAAATTAAATTTCTCCTGTTAAACCCCTTTTCATCCTCCTTGTTTAATCTTGTGTGATGGTTCACCAACAGTCTAAGTAACTTTTGGAAAGTAATGCTAAATACAACTAGCAAATTCCTTGAAACATTCACACATGGTTTAGTTGGGCCCAGACAGGAATGGTGCCATACGTGCCTATTCACATTTCATGACCTTCTTGCTCTTTTAGTATCCCTGTTACTTACTTGCTTGTCTATCTTTTTGGCCAGTACAATTGAAAACATTTCCTCCACTCTCTTTCCAATTGCATGGCCCTGAAGCAAACCATGCTTTATAACCTATGAAGGGAGAAGAGGAGGGGGGAGACACTGATATTTACACCGTGCTTTCCATTACCCACTCTGAGCTCCCGAAAGTCCCTTTTGCCCCTGTTAGGTCATTGTCATCATACTGCAAAAGCATGCCGTTGACTGAGAGGCTCCTCTTTGTCCAAATGTTTGTTATCTTTTTTGGGTAGGTGCAACACTGAGATGTAGCAAAGTCCCCCATGTCAAAAGAATGGCTACGTTTGGTTTTGCCCTCTAGAGGCAACATGAGGAAGCTGCGTAATTTTGACTCCGTCTGGCCCAGCAGTGGCTCTTTGTCCGAGTGGCGGGCCACCGTGGAAGTTCTGGAGTCTGTCATTTCCTCCTTTTTCTGACATTTCAGTTCCAGGGAGGCAAAAGCTCCCATTAGCCGGTCAATATTGTGTTTTGACCTGGAAGGAGGCCTCCATTTACTGGACAATGTGCCCTGTTCACTTTGGAGGCTATAGTTGTCACAGTCACGACTATTTGCAGAGCTGGAGGAAGAGGAGATGCTACTCCGTGCAGACTGACAGTTAAACTCCATAAGTTCATTCCTCACCACCACTTTGGGATTGACTTGGGGCAGGACTCCATTCTGAACTGGTTGTGCTCCATTTGTCTGTGAGTAGACATTGCTGACATTAGACATCTTCCCTTGAGAATTGTTGCAGACCTTATAGCGGACCATGAGTATTACAATGAACACCAACAGAGTTGCCACAATGATGCCTCCAATGATCAGAATCATGGTCCCACCCAGGAACTGACTGTGCATTGACTGGCACTGAGGGTAGTCTTCTTTGGTGAAGAATTGGGCGCATCCCACTATATTGGTGGCAGTAAGGGTCGTGGCTGTGTCATCCCACATTGCCAGGACACAGAGGTCATAGCCTGTTCCGGAAACAAGGTTGGTTACAACAAAGGCCTTGTTTGTAGCTGGTATCATCCTTAAAAAAAAAAAGAAAGAAAAAAGAATTGGTTACTCTTGACACAAAGGTGAAAGAGAGAACAGATATAAGAACGATATTGTGTTTACTGTTCTGGGTACTGGCAAAGAGAAGTCGGAGCCATAAAATTCAAACCAGCGTTCAAGCTTCCCAGCTCCTGTGGGTTCAACATCCCAGCATTCAGTAACACGCAAGTTTTGAGGGCCAGCTCTCAAATGTGCAATAAAGGGAGTAAGAAAAATCAGACCAAACTAGTCTGTTTTGTTTTTTTTTCTCTCTCCTCACTTGCACCTGTCCTATTCTGGAATATATTCAAACCTGAAGAGATAACTCAGAATAAAAATATGTGCTTACAAAGAGCAGTTCTTTCTGAGTGTGCAAATGACCCTTGTACTTGCTGAGTTTCAACCTGGCAGTTGTCTCATTGCTTCACGGGTGCCTGAACATTTACTGTCTAACATCAGCGGGTTACTTACCTTGTGAAGACATTTAGTTTTCTCATTGACTGAGAAGGCAAGGCAGGCAACCACTTCTCTCTCTTTCTCCACTCTCCCACCTACTTTCTCAATCCTCCTACTCCCCACTGTGGAAAATATCTCCTAAAAATGCAGCTATCATCATCTTTGCCAGAAATTTCTCCCAGCAACCACCTTCCCCTCTGTGAGTGAAAAAGAAATACTGGCATTGGCAATATGGGCTGTGGAAGTGTGAGGAGAGGCAGGAAGAGACAGAGATGGAAAGAAGAAGGTTTCTTTAAAATAAAGAATTCTATTCAAGTAGGAATCCATTTCCAAAAACCAAATAGCTAGGCCTGCTTCCAAAAACCAAATAGCTAGGTCTAAGCTGTGCTCCAAGTTGGGACATTTATGGACATTATTCTTTGTTGCCACAAAACTTAAGCAGTCATTTGAACTCATGCAGTATTAGAGCATCACTAGCATTCAAAATTAGCAGATGGGAATGAATATGGTTTACCTCCACTTCAAACTGATGAAAATTGCAGTACATTAGTGGAACACAGTGGAGAATTCAAGATTTGGTGCCTGGTGGTTAGCCAAGAATAAAACCAAAGAGATACCCCATGCATGTTTCTCATTACTGTTACATTACATTACAGGCTTGGGTGAGAGAAAAAAGCTGAAATTAAAAACAGCCCATTATGACATAGATCTGCAGGTCTTTTGCACCGGCAACAAGGGAGTCCTACAGGCACTTACAACCCACAGTGAGCTGATGTGACTGTATTTGGGACGGTAAGGCCCACGCAGAGGAACAAGGCATATTCCTTGTCGGAGTGCCAGGCTTCCTTAGTCTCAAATCATCACCACAGCTAGCACAAACTGCAGCTCTGCAGAGGACCTTCTGTACAGTGGGAGGGAACAGATCTGCACTGAGAAGCAGCAACGTCAAGGCACTGCAAAGATGAGCCTCTGATCATCTTTGCATTTATGCATTCACGCCACTTACACAGCCCTTCAGTCTGGCCACAGGTGAGGATGTGGCTGCTTTTTAAAAAAAACACACACAAAAAAAAACTGTAAGGAAGAGAAATATTTGTGAGAGACACTTGAGAAATAACGCTGAGAAACATCATCTGGCAGGTTTACTCAATGTTGTATTTTGAGATTCTAGACACATTTATCACCCTAATGGAGCTGTTTGACACAGATATGAGTTATTCAGAATGAGTCCAGAGGTCATAAAGCAGCCCTCATGAAAAACTCCAGATACTGCTGCTAAAATGTTTTCCAAAAGCTGAAATATGTGATCTCAAGTTGTTTCTAATTGTTCTTTCCTCCCTGTGGGTCTGTGAACAAAACACCACTGCCCACAGCAGACTGCACTCTGTAGAATTGTTCAAGGAGTTGCATGTGCACACACCAAGGATGATATATGGAATAACAGAATACTATTGTTCTTCAAACATCTGATTTTAAACTCTTGAACAGTTTCAGTAATTGCTTCCTATGTCCTTCTGTAGTGCTATACTCCACTTTTCACAATCAATCTCAGCTACGTGCTTAAAAAAATCTGCAGTGTGTTAAGTCGTTCAGAAATTATTTCATTACGAAACCTCATTACAAACAAGTAGCACTGTTAGCAGAAAGAGTAGTCAGCCCTATAAACTTGGTCTTGGACTTGGGTCATAACTCTTGGAAAAAGAGAACTATAACACTATCTGTTAGAGTGGTTCCTTTTGCTTTGCAATGATTAAATGTGGAGAGACGAGAGACTATTCTCTCCAAGCAAACAGCAAACAACTGAGTTTATATACTATCTAACTTTGCACATGTACGATCATCTTTGCATTTATGCATTCACATCCCTTACTCAACCCTTCATTCTGGCCACAAGTGAGTATGTATTTCTCCTGTTTAAAAACCAAACATACAAAAATAGAAATACAGTCTTTCAACCTCACCCACTAATGCCCGATTCATATAGAGTGAACACTGATAGCCTAAATCATTTACAACTTGCTTTTTTTCAAACACAACTACACACCAGCTTCCAAGGAAATGTAACTGCCTGAAATATTTCAAGGACTGGCAGGTAGTGATAGTGGCAAAAAATATAAAGCCAATCCATTTTTAAATGTACAGCAGTGAGGCCATAACTAGTTCTAAAGCTTGGCTAGGTTAACTGTGTTGAAACTTCCGTAAAAGTTTGTCTTAGCCTTTAAAAGAAACTGAGTCATTTCTAAATTCAATCAATGCTGGCAGCTACAGCTGTGGTAATATTTGGACTAATAATAGCTTTATAAAAATCACAGTTGCAATCTCAATTAAAGAAAAAGCAATCAACTCTCCATATGCATTCAAAATGAAGAATTTTGGATGTTTCCGTAAGCAAATTTTAAATGTTCTTGTAAAATATTTAAGTTAATGTAGCTGTTAAAGAACAGCTGAACATAGGAATAAGCAACAATTTCAAGAGTACTAGGAGTGAAGTAATTACTTTTAGACTTAGTTTTCTATCTTACAGAGAAGACAATCTTGTTTTCATGAACTTGCCAAATTTTAAGAGTATTTTGGCATTCCTCTGTGCTTTCATCTACCCTCCTCAAACATACTGCCAGTGAGCTGTGATGGATGACATCTCTTAACATTCCCCACACCTAAAATCAATGCAGACTCTTTTTCGTTCTGGGATATTGATGACTCTTTCTTTGTCCCCAACACAGGTATTTGCAAGGTGCCGCTTCAATCTTTGCTTTGTAGCCTAGCAGGGTGTGTCTCTTCATGGCTGTTTAGTACATGTAGTGCCATTAATCATGCACCACCCTACCCTGCCACTGGGACTCAGTAGCTAGGAGCTGCCATAAAACTAAAAGGGGCCATTAAAACTGGATCTAGGCAGAGATCTTGCAGGGCTTTGTTCAGTCCAGATAAACACTGAAAGCTGTTTTCAGATAGCAAGGATGTGGTTCATGGGAGACCAAAAAGAGCTTTTGAAAGTTGTTAGCTTTAGGAACTGAAGATTCAGATGTTCACAGATAGTAAACATACTTAAAAGCTGCAGTATCTTGAAGCAACAAGCCTGATACTGTCCACTTGCTCTTCAGGGCAGTGTGATCTTGCCTAGATGCTTCTTATCACAAAAGAGGAATAGAGATCTAAATCTGGTACTAGACTTTCTTTAGGGAAAAAAAACCAAAACAAACAGTTGACTAACTGCAAGAGAAGATCAACTAGCAAAAGACTTGCATATAGGTTATGAAAGGTTTTAATACATACAGTTTAAGGAATCTGGGGGCTGGGAAAACAAACAAATACAGAAATATGTCAACAGTGAAAACGTAAATGCAAAATTGGAAAATCTTATGGAAATATCACTGTCCAGACACATAAGACACAGTAATTTCTGTCTTTCTCCTCTGATTTATTCTCCTTGGAGTAAGAGGAGCAGGTAAATCTCCACACTGGTGCCAGGATTTTTTAATCTGATTCTTAATCTAGTTCTTGAATCCTATCTGAAGGTCAAAATACCCCAAGGAAAAACTATTCATATAAGAACACAGTTCTGACCTCTCTGGAAAACCTTGCCTCTAAGGAATGAAATGAGCATAGAGATCTTACAACTGACCTTCTTAATTAACAAAAAGAGTTCTCTTCTCTCACCCTTTGGTACAATAGCATCACTTATTGGAAGAGAAGGAGACCTATGGCCAGGATGGGCATAGCATAACCATCTGAAATAGAACAGCAATAGACAGATGCTCCCAGGAGAGTGTGATGAAGAGCTATGAAGAAGAGCTATGAAGAGCTATGAAGTTGAGATGAAAGTTTGCAGGGCTTTTTCAAACAATACATTCTGTTCAATCCATGAAGATTTATGTCTCATTTTGTGAAAGTGCCCAAATGAGACCCTTTTAAAAAAAGGGAAAGATAGTGCTAGAATTCTTCTTTGAAATCAACCTTATTTTGTACCACCATCACCACTAAAACATCCTTGTTATGTCCTTGGGGACACAACATACAGAAATCAAGCAATTTTCTAATTATTCACTTCAGTGTGTGGTGATATTAAGAAAATTAGAAAATAAATTACCTAGAAATACAGGGGAAAAAGGTTTGCTGCAGACTTCACTCATAATCCCAGATGCAAGTGAGCACTGAAGCTTGCAGCGAGTGAACTGTGCTGAGAATTTGAGATAACTGAGTTTTATTCTTTATTTTATCAGTTACACTGATATCAGGCTCCACTTTATCAGTAACTCTCAGTTCCTGAGAATTCATTTTGCTGTACTGTAAGTCTCCTCATTTATAAAATAGGGATAATGCCAGCAATCTCCTTTCAAAAGAGGCCTGTAGTGTATTGAAGGAAATTAGTAGATATGGCGATTGCACTGTAATATACAAACGAGTTCTTTTCTTCTGTGTAGCATGGGGGTTTAGCAGCAGTGAACTGTTGGTTAATACTGCCGTTATGGAAAACTGAAAAATTAGACAAAATCCAGATTAGGCTAATTGGCTAGGCAATTCTGTACCTTTTCTCCA